AACTGTCCGTAACTCCAGTCCCAGGGGATCCGACAGCCTCTTCTGTCCTTCGAGGGCATTGCACATGGGTGCACTTACCTACATGCAGGCAATACACACACATAAAAAAAAAAGAAAGAAAGATCGATGGATAGATGTATGGAATAAAGGACATGTGATAGAATATAGCAAAATGCTGCCAGTCATGTTGCTGAAAACTGTTATCGCAGTACTTCGGAGGCAGAGGCAGAAGGATCAGGAGTTTAAGGTCATCATCAACTACATAGCCAGTTCCAGTCCAGCCTGGATTTACATGGGAGCCTATCTCAAAAAAATGTGACAAATATTAGTTGCATAATGTAGGAGGTAATATGGTATTCACTATACAATTCTTTAAAAAAAATTTTGAGACAGGGTCTTGGTAGGTTAGCCCAGGCTGGCCTGGAACTCAAGATTTTCTGCCTCAACTTCCAAAATAATGGAATTACAGACTGTGTCACCTCAACTGGCAACATTTATGGGTATTTAAATTTTTTAGAAACTTGACTAGATCAATAAGAGCTTTTATTTCTTTAAATAAAAGGGATACAACTGGGCATGGTAGCTCACACTTATAATTCCATCACTCAGGAAGCTGAGACAGGAGGCTCACAGTGAGTTCAAGGCCAGCCTGGGGTACCTGATGAGTTCCATACCAGCCTACGATACAGACCATATATATAAAACCACAAAGCAACTGGGTGTGGTGGTACATGCCTCTAACCCCATCCCTTGCTTGGAAGGCAGAGGTAGGTGAATCTCTGAGAGATTAAGGCAGCTATATAAGGAGTCCCAGGGACTCTGTCTCAAATCAAGTAAACAAACAAAATGAAACAAAAAAAAACGAAATAAAAATAAAAATAAAAAGGATACAAATAGGAAAGATGTCAAATTATCCCTATTTGCAGACAACATGAACCTATGCTTAAAAGATCTTAAAGACTGGGAGAGATGGCTCAGCGGTTAAGAGCACTGGCTGCTCTTGCAGAGGACCCAGGTTCTATTCCCAACACCCACACGGCAGCTAACAACTGTCTGTTAACTCCAGTTCCAGGGGAGTTAACACCCTCTTCTGACCTCTGTGGGCATTGCATGACACAGGTGCACTTACATGCATGCAGGCAATACACTAATACACATAAAATAAAATAAAAATAATAAAAATAAACTATTAAAAAAGACCCTAAAGACTCTCCAGAAAGGGGTTGGAGAGATAGCTCAGCAGTTAAGAATACTTGCTGTTCTTCCAGAGGACCCAGGTTCAATTCCCAGAACCCACATTGCAGCTGTCTTTAACTCCAGTTCCAGGGCATCCAATGCCCTCTTCTGGCCTCTGAAGGCTTTGCTTGAAATGGGGCACTTATATACATGCAGGCAATACACCCATACACATAAAAATAATAAATAAAATATTTTTTAAAAAGACTCCACCAGAAAACTCTTAAATCTGATAAACAGTTTCAGCAAGGTAGCAGCACACAAAGTTAACAAACAAAAATCAGTAGCTTTCCTATATACCAGTATCAAATTTGTCAAGTCAGAAATCGGAGGCTGAGGGGGAGGCAGATTCCACTCATGATAGCTTAAAAAAAAAAATACTTGCCAGGTGTGGTGGTGCACACCTTTAATCCCAGCAGAGGCAGGTGGATCTCTGTGAGTTCAAGGCCAGCCTGGTCTACATAGTGAGTTCCAGGACAGCTGGGGCTACAGGGAGACCCTGTCTCAAAAAGGCCAAAAAAAAAAAAAAAAAAAACCACTTATGGGCTGAGCATGGTGGTGTATGCCTTTAATCCCAGGACTCAAGAGCCAGAGGCAGGCAATCTCTCTATGAGTTCAAGGCTAGCCTGGTTTATACAGTGAGTTCCAGGCCAGCTGGGGCTACAGGGAAGCCCTATCTCAAAAAGACAAAAAGTAATAAAAAATAAGAATAAAAAAATACTTAGGGGGCCAGAGAGATGGCTCAGTGGTTAAGAGCACTGACTGCTCTTGCAGTGGACCTGGGTTCAATTCCCAGCGCCCACATGGTGGCTACAAACCATCCTTAACTCCAGTTTCAGGGGAATCCAACATCCTCTTCTGACCTCTGCGGCATTGCATGACACGGATGTACTCACATACATGCAGGCAATACACTCATACACATAAAATAAAAATACTAAATAAAACGTATTTTTTTTTAAAAACTACAATGAGATTCCATTTCATTCCAGTCAGAATGACTTGATAGCCATTCTTGATAGAAAACACAAAACTGGACCTGGAGAGATGACTCAGTGGTCAAGGATACTTGCAGAGGACCAGAGTTCAGTTCCCAACACATATATTCAGTGGTTCACATCACTTGTAACTCCAGCTCCAGGAGATCTGACATCCTCTTCTGGGTTCTACAGTCACCTGCACACGTGTAACACACACACACACACACACACACACACACACACACACACGCCACCAAATGTGAGAAACCCTTATTTACTGCTGGTGAAAATGTAAACTGGGGCTACTACTGTGTAAAATCAAAATGGAGGTTCCTCAAAAACTAAAAACAGAACTACCATATGATCCAATTATACCACTCAACCATACAACTCCTGGGTATGTATCTTGTATTAGTTATTTTTCTCTTTGCTATGACAAAATACCTGGAAAAAGGCAACTTAAGGGGCCGCCAGATGACCTTGTGAATAGAGATGCTTGCTGGGCAAGCCTGAGTTTGATTCCCGGAGTCCATGTAAAGTGGAAGGAGAAATGGCTCCACAAAGTTGTCATCTGACCTCCACATAATGCATCTTGGTACATGCACCCAGCACCCACACACACACATCATGTACACACATATAATAACAATAATATAAAAAGTAACTTAATGGATGGCCAGGCATGGTGGTTCATGCCTTTAATCCCAGCACTGGGGAGGCAGAGGCAGGTGGACCTCTGGAGTTCGAGGCCAGCCTAGTTTACATAGTGAGTTCCAGGCCAGCTGGGGATACAGGGAGACCCTGTCTCAAGAAGAAAAAGAAAAAGAAAAGTAACTTAATGGAGGAAGGATTTGTCTTGATTCAAAATTTAAGAGTTTTCTCGTGTCAGAGAAAGCATAACAGAATTCATGGCAGCAAAAATGTGAAGTTAGGATGCCTCACATCTTGAAAGACTGGAAAGCAGAGAGCAGGGATATGCTGATGCTCCTTCCCCCCTTTTTATTCAGGCAGGTCCTACAGACCATGAGATGGTGCTATCCACATTTAGGCTGGCTCTTCCTTCCTCAGTTAAACCTCTCACAGACATTCACAGAGGTGTGTCTTCTAGGTAATTCCAAATCTAGTCAACCTGACAATAGGATTAACCATTATATATCTGAAGAATTCGAAGTCAGCATACCATAGATATACTTGCATATCCTTGTTTACTGCTGCACTAGACACAGCAGCCAAGATATGGCTACAAGCCTAGAAGTTCATCAGCAGATGAATGGATAAAGAAAATGTGGTGTGTATACATAATGGAATTTTCTTCAACTGTAAAGAAGAATAAAATTATGACATTTGCAGGAAAATGGATGGATCTCGATATTAAATAAGCCAGACTCAGAAAGACAAATATCATGTTTTCTTTCATAGGTGGAATCTAGATTTATATATAATTATATTCATATATGTGACATTAAAATAGAAAGGGTCTATGGGAGGGGAAGAAAAGGTCTAAAGAAAGGGGAAGGGAAGAATGAGAATGAATAGTGGGTTATACCAGGCACAAAAACAGAAGGTGGGACTACTTGGAGAGAGAAAGGTAATTTGTGGTGGGGGCAAATAAGGACAAAGTAGATATATGTGTGAAAATGTCACAATGACACTCACTAGTTTGTATGCTAACTAAAAAAATAAAATCCATAAAAACGGTGGTAGGAGACAAGATTATTAAAGGGAAGGTTTAAGAAAGGGAAAAAATCTGCTTTTTCATCAAAAACTTGCATTTCTTATTCTGAGGAAGGAAAACAGATTTATTACACAAGGAAGGAAGGGAGCATTTCTCCTCTAGCAAACCTTGTCTAGTTAGCCAGAAATAAAGAGGAACATTTATATTTGCCACGAGAAAAGCTCTAGGGGGCATGAAAAGAAAGATTATACATTATAAAATGGCATGGATGACTGAGAAGCAGAACTAGAGAAGCGAGTCCAATGAGGTCATCTAGGCTTTTGAATTCTGCCCCTTCTAAACGTGGCTAAGGCTGGACCTGACAAACTGAGACTAAGGGCCCCTCCTATGCCAGAAAGCATAAATATACAAGGATTGGATTTTGTGCTCTGTTCTCTTGACTAGCTGGTTGACAGCTTAAGAGAAGGTAAGTGCTCAGACTGTGCTAATTTGGGATGCTAAAGACCTGCTCCTTGAAGGTTGATTCCTCTTATTAAAGACTGAATAGGACAAGAGTCCTGGCTCAAGAGTTTGCCTCCACGTGTGTCCATCCACAGAAAGGCTCTCAAGGGGTGCTGGCTGGGGAGCAAAATTTAAGACTATAGCTTTCTTCCCCAAAGACTGCTTGGGAGCTGGTTAGTGTAGAACTAGTCCAGTCTGGAGGAAGCACTGTCACAGGTAAGCTTGGGGAACCTGGAGTGTTTGAAGAACAAACGGCTTCTCGCCAGGCTGACTTGCACGAAGGAAGACGGTTTTAAAATAGTCATCCCAATTCCACTCTAAAGAGCACAGATCCCTCTCCCCAAAAGGAGTCTCTTCCAAATCAAGTTCTAGCTGCAGAGAACCGCGATGCTCTAAAGCAGGACCTCAACTCCTCAGAGCCAGATTTTTCAACCTTTTAGATCAAGAGTTCCCATCATGCTTCTGAAGTCTGCCCCGCCATTCAAACTGTCAGATCTGGATTTCCCTTCACACCCCTCCCCCATCTTGCTCTAGATGAACCGTGGCTCTAAGGTACATAGACCTCCATCCACCAGAGGCACACCCCCAGCCCTCAGACCTGGCGTCCCTCAAACCCTCAGTACAATAGAACACTTCGACCCTCAGCTACCCACACCCAGCCTCCCCGAGATTCTTCCAAACTGGGGCCACCCTCCGACCTTCACATCCCAGAGTCAGATCCCTAACCCCGTGTCCCTAATCCTGGGTGCCAGCTCCCTCCATTCGCCGCCTTAGTGGTTTTGGCGTTCTGTCAGGACTGATAGCATACCATATTTCCAACGTCTGCAGCAAGAGCACGGGCATAGAACCTGCCTCACGGCCCCCAGAGTCCACGCAGAAGGCTAGTGGGAGGGGAGGGGCCTAGGATGGGACGGGGCCTAGCGTGTGGGGCGGGGCCTAGTGCGGGGCGGGGTCTGGCGCTCGGGGGTGGTCTCACGAGCGGTGGCAGATGAGCTGTGGGAGCGAATGGCAGAGCAATGGGATCTGGACGAAGAGGGTCTCCGCCTCCTGGGGGCGCTGACCCTGGAGCTGCCGGGTAGGGCCGAGCCCGTAGGGTGTGGGTGGCGAGCATGAGGCACAAGCTTTGTGGAGAGAGCTGCGGTGGAGGCCCCGGGAAAACCCAGGCGAGGCGAGGCCGGGGAGCTGCAGGGGAGAGGCTCCTGTGGCGGAGGAGGAGGAAACTGAGGCAAAGGGTTAACACCGAGGTGCAGAAACTGCAGTAACAAGACTAAAGAATTGAGGGAGGCCAGGAATGTGAAGTCGAAGGGAGATGAGATGAATACGCGGGCTGGGACTCTGGCAGGTGACAGAATTGGATAGAAGAAATCTCAGTTAGTGGAAGGAAATGGAGCCTTCAGAGGGTCATTGGCCAGAGAAGGGAAGTGCTGAGAAGGGTAACCGGGGTGCTGGGTGCTGTTGAGCTACAAGGTGTGTTAATTTTGGCAGTCTCTCAAGCTTCCTGCTTTTCCTGGTTGGGGTGCAGTGGGAAAGGACACCCCTCCCATTGTCAAGAACCCGACCCTTGGTGGGGCATGATAGTGCATGCCTTTAATCCCAGAATTGAGTTTGAGGCCAGCCTGGTCTATATAGTGATAGCTAGGCTGTCCAGGACTACTTAGTGAGACCCTGTCTCAAAACAAAGAGAAAACACCAAAAAACACCACCAAAAAGCTGACCCTCTCTTTGATATATCTGTAGGTACAGCTGTGTCATTCTCATTTAAAAACTCAACTAAACCTGATGTGGTGGCACATTCTTTAATTCCAGCACTCAGGAGAGAGAACTGGGCTGATCTCTGTGAGTTCGAGCTAGCCTGGTCTACATAGTGATTTCCAGGCTGGCCAGGGCTACAAACAAACAAACCTCAACTAATTGATCTCTTAATCATTTAGTTCTGTGCCCAGCCATGCCTTGATTGCTTTCTACGTTTCTAAGGAAGAAGAAAGTTGGAAAAGTTATCAACATTCCTAATGAAACTCTTGACTGATTCCAGGGTCTATGCTGCACCTGTAACAAATATCTGTCTTCCTTCCTTTACCTTTTGCATTTGTAAAATAACATAAAAATTTTGATTTTATTTGTAATTTTATTTTAAGATTATTTATTTAAAAACCTTCAGAATCAGTGCATGCTGATAAGTCAAATATTACACGGATAATGAAGAAGGTACTCCTCTTTCTTCTGTAACTACTGTAACTTCTGTCTCATATGACCCAGGCTGGTCTGGCCTCAAACTTGATATTATAGTGTGTTTTATGCAGTTCTGTGAGTCAGACCCAGGGTTTAGTGCATGCTAGGCAAGTATTCTAGCAATTGAGCCATACTCCCAGCCCAGTATTTTTTTTTTCTTTTTCAAACTACTTTGAACCCCCCCTATTTTACAAGTCAGTTAAGAACTTCCTTGGCTTGGTACACTTCTGTGCCTGCCCTGCCATTTAAAAAAATTGATTGATGCAGGTGGAGAAATGGTTTAGTAATTAAGAACACTTACTGCTCTTCCAGAGGACCTAGGTTCAGTGCCCCGCACTGATAGTGTCTAACAACCATCGTTAACTCTAGTTCAAGGGGATCTGATGCCCTCTTCTGACCTCTATGGGCATTGCACACACAGGTGCACTTAACATGCATGTAGGCAAAATACTCATACACATAAAATAAAAATAAATAGGGCTGGAGAAATGGCTCAGCAGTTAAGAGCTCTGGCTGTTCTTGCAGAAGACCGGGGTTCGAATCCCAGCACCCACATGGCAGCTAACAACTGTCTGTAACTCCAGTTCCAGGGGATTCAACACCCTTTTCTGACCTCTGCAGGCATTGTGTGACACAGGTGCACTTACATGCAAGCATAACACTCATACACATAAAATAAAAATAAATTATAAGTGATTCATCTCAATATTCGAAATTTGGGGAACGTGATGCGGAACATTTTGGTGCATGCCTATAGTCCCAGCTACTAGGGAGGCTGAAGTGGGAGGATTGCCTGAATCCCTGAATTTGAGATAGGCTTGAGCAACAGTCTTTAAAATAATGATAATAATAATATTTGAGGGAACCCTGTCCTAGGTTGCTTTTTGTTACTGTAATAAAAAACTAACCAAAACCAACGTGGGGAGGAAAGATTTTATTTAACTCACACTTCCACATAACAGTCCTTCACTGAGGGAACCTCGAGGCAAGAATTGAAGCAGAGACCATGGTGAAATGCTGCCTACTGGTTTGCTCCCTCTGGCTTGCCAGATACTTTTCTTACGTAGCTCAGACCCACTCCCAGGGATGGTACTGCCCATAGTGGCCTGGGCCCTCCTACATCAATTAGCAATTAAGAAAATGCCCCACATACATGCCCACAGGCCAGTCTGATGGAGGAAATTCCTCTTCCCAGGTGACTTTAGTTTGTGTCAAGTTTGGAAAAAACTAACCAGCACATACCTCTTCCGTTCTGCAGCTAGAATAATACATGGCAGATCATTTTTAAAAAATCTTTAATATAAGCTGGGCATGGTGGCACATGCCTTTAGTCCCAGTACTCGGGAGGCAGAGGCAGGAGGATCTCTGATTTTGAGGCCAGCCTGGTCTACATAGTGAATTCCAGGCAAGCTGGGGCTACTGGGAGACCCTGTCTCAAAAAAGACAACAACAAAAAAATCTTTAATAGATAGATGACAAGAAATCAGACAAAGCTGGGCATGGTGATGTGCATCTTTGATTTCAGCAGTAGGGAGGTAGAGGCAGGCTATCTCTGTGAGTTCTAGGACAGTCATGGATACATAGCAAGACCCTGTCTCAAAGGAAGAAAAAAAAAAAAGGCCTGTAGACTACCCCCCTTTGTACATTAGTAGGCTCCTGGGGTTTTTCTCTAGCAATTCTACAGTTTTGCTTTTCACATTAAACCTAATATATCCAGTTTATTTTTATATAAGATGTTTGATAAGATATAATTTTTTTTCCTGTGTGTGTATAAAGTTGTTTTGTCTGTTTTTAGTAGTGCCAGGGATCAAATTTCAGGCCTTATGAATGCTAGGCAAGTGCTCAACCACTGAGCCATATCCACAGCCCAGCATAAACCTTTGTCAATGCCTTCCTCATTTTACTTACTTTCTTCTTCAAAATTGTCAGACCTATTATTGGTTCTTGATTCTGTCCTCAAAATTCTAGAATCAGCTTCTCAGTTTCTAGAAACTTCTTTTTTTTTTTTTTTTTTTTTTTACGTGGTATGTGAGTGTGTATGTTTGTATGTGTGTGGAGGCCCAAGGTTAATCAGAATTCTTCTTTTGAAGCACGGTCTCTCTGTTGAACCCAGAGCTCAATACCTTGGGCTAATCAAGCTAGCTGGCTTGCTCCTGGGATCACCTGCCTTTTGAGTGCTAGAATTATAGGCAGACTACCACGGCTGTCCAGCATTCACATGGGTGCTGGGAACCCAAACTTCAGTGCTCACACTTGCACACATTTTATCAACTGAGCTATCTCCCCGGCCCATAATTTATTTTAACATGTTCTGTTCATGCTTATTTGATTAGAAGATGCCTTTCAATATACTTTCACATTTTCTCTGGAATACATTTCTGGGTCACTGCTTCTGTCTCCAATGCAGTAGCTCAAGAACTACCTCAGACCTCTAATACTTTATTCTTTAATTATAGCAGCAACTTGGCTTTTAAAAATATTTTATCTATTATTTTTATTTAATGTGTATGAGTGTTTTGCCTACCAGTATGTAAGTACATCACATGTGTGCAATACCTGCAAAGGTCAGAAGGGAGTGTTGGATTGGATCCCCTGGAACTGGAGTTACAGACGGTTATTAGTGCCATGTGGATGCTAGGAATTGAGCCTAGGTCCTTTGGAAGAACAGAAAGTGCTCTTAACTGCTGAGCCATCTCTCCAGCCCTATGATAGCAGTGTGTGTGTGTGTGTGTGTGTGTGTGTGTGTATGCGCACATGCACATGCTTGCTTGGGATTGAACCCAGGGCCTTTTATACTCTACCACTCGGGTAGATCTCTAACCCCAACAACAGCTTCCTTTTTAAAAATATTTTATATTTTAATGTGTATGTGTGTATTGCCTGCATATATACGTAAATGCACCTTTGTCATGCAGTGCTCACAGAGGTCAGAAGAGGGCATTGGATTCTCCTAGAACTGGAGTTATGGACTGTTGTTAGCCACCATGTGGGTACTGGGAATCGAACCTGGGTCCTCTGCAAGAGCAACCAGTGCTCTTAACCACTGAGCCATCACTCCAGTCCAATAGCATCTTTTTCTTAAATTTTACTTTATTTTTAATTATGTGTATGAGTGTTGTGTCTTTGTGTGGTAGTATGTGCATGTGAGTGCAGGCTCCCATAGAGGCCAGAGATGTCAGATTCTCCTGGATCTGGACTTAGACAGTTGTGAGCCACCTGGCATGGGTGCTGGGAACTGAACTCTTGTCCTCTGCAAGAGCAGTACAGGCTCTTAACCACTGAGCCATCTTGTCAGCCCCCAACAACAACTTAACATCAAGTATTCAACCAGCATTCTTCTCCAATTGTCCTATAAATTTTTCTTTTAAAAAAATCTATATATAGCCTGGCCCAGTGGTGCATGCATATAACCCCAGTACTCGGGAGGCAGAGGCAGGCAGATCTCTGTGAGTTCAAGGCCAGCCTGTCTGCATAGTGAATTCCAGGCCAGCTGGAGCTACAGGGAGACCCTGTCTCGAAAGAAAAAAACCTTTATAAAGTTCACACATTAGTTGATTGATATGTGTCTTAAATCTTATTTAATCTGTAGATCCCTTTTTTTCCTTGAATTTTCATCTGGATTTTACTTACTATATTTATCATTTTCCCCTGTTCCCTGTATTCCCTGAATTGGCAGTTATATGAAGCTTAATCAGATTCAAGTTTAATTTGTGTTAGTCTTTTCCCACAAGATTGCCTCATGGATGATGGTGTATACTTCTGTAGGAAGTATTTAGTGCCTGGTGTTTTTTGTATTTGGGGTAGTCATTGAACACGATTTTCTAGTCTGTTAATTTCATTAGGCAT